ATGTATATCCGTTGCGCACGTAATAAAAATATGAAAAAAATAATTTATAAAATATAAATTGATCAAAATACCCCCGAAACTTTACGGAGTTATTTGGGTCAATTTATATTTTGTGAATTATTTTTTTCATATTTTTATTAAGTGCGCCTCACTAAGATATACATATTCTCCAAATTTCAAATAATTTGGATTTGTAGAAAAAAAAATGAAAATTGAAATACTACCAAGCAACTGTGACCCGTGCGATGAAATTTGGATGGTGATAAGAGTAGGCGAAATCACTGTTTATATCACCTATAGACATTGGGAAAAGTTTTCCTATATATATATTATAAATAAAAAACAATTATTTCATGCAGGCTAGGCTGCATTTGTACAATATGCGGTTCAGAGGTATAAAGCATTCATCTTAAAAATAGATGCAAATAGGTGGTCAATCTAAAAACAATTGTAACTAACGGTCCAAATGTTTTCTTAATATAATTATTATTTTAGTTTTTAAAATTTATTTATTTTTTCATATTCATGATCTCCATTTTAAAAATTATATATTTTCTAAAAATTAGGATGAAATTATATTTAAAAAATATGTTTATTGCCAAGCCCGCATTTCTACATGTGGCATGCTAGCCGCATCCATAATTAAAACTTATAAAAAATTTACGAATGAAGTTTCTATAAGGCCTAGTGCTTTATGAAAACAAAATAAAGCCTCACCTCGTATCCTCATCTCAAAAGCACTTTCGGCATTGGAGATCTCCATGGCTCTAAAATCAAATTCCATACCGACAATAAATTTTGAAATTAAAAAAATATTACAAATCTTACATATCTGGAAACATTTTTTTTTTATGACAAAATGGATGGTGTAGATGATTTCTTACCATGTACACTAATTTTAAATTTAAAATCCCAATTTTTTTTTTTTATAACTATAATGTTCAAGCTGGGATGATCGAAAAGGTTTTCCAACGCTTGGATTGCAATTTTCCATGAGTCATGGGATGAGGCTCTTACTTATCAAACTATTTTCTAAAGTTTAAAAAACAATAGTGAAGCTCTCTTAAAATAAATTGTAAAATAATTCAAATGCATAACAAATGACACATGTCATAACTGGGTTCGACCAAAATCCACGAAGAAGGACGCGCATAAAAAAGTACGGACACCGCGTAACGGCCGGCCGCTGAACGGCTACGTCCTTTTGTGAAGAATACGATCAAAACACCCTAGACATTTCCTCTAATGACCAAAATGGAGTGTTGGTGCTCATCCTATACCTGGTACGTATCATGTGTATTCGGGTCTAGGTCCGGCCGGACCCTGACTCGGTCTGTTGCCTCTCATAATAGTAATGTACTATGCCCATAGAAAAACATATGCAAAGGGATTAGATGGTGCTAAAGCATTTTTCACGGCAAGATGGAATCGGACCAATAAATTTGGTCGATTAGAATATACATTGGTGCAATAACATATTTCATCTAAAGTAAAAATTGAGTTTGATTAAAATTAATATTGGATGATTTTTAAGCTGAACAAAGTTTTTTTTTTTTGTAATATTTTATATTCTTAACCAGTACTTTTTTTTTTTTAAAGTAAATTTGACTTACAATTATATAAATTTTGTCTGAGCCCGATCCTTCACGAATTCAAGGCCCTATCTGATTTGAAAAACACTTAAATTTCTTTTTTTCGAAAGAAAGATTTTTGAAAACACTGAAATTCATAGTTATACACTTCCATTACCATCCATTGGATGAGATGGAAAACTGGCATGAGCCGAGAATATTTATTTCCTATAGTCACAAGCACTTTCTTTTTCCCATTTTACATTAACGCTCGAGTCAAGTGCTTTACCTGGTAACGTAAAACTGGCCTCACTAAAATCTCTCCCAAAAATATAGAGAGCCATAGAGTCAGGTCCGACCGGGGTGGCCCAACCTGAAGAAGCTTTATATGGACCCGGCCCCGACTTGGACATAGACTCAGGTCCCAGTGAATTGGATCCGAACCCTACCTTGACCCCGACCCTAGTAGGGGCCGGGTCCAAATTATTTTGACCCAGATTTGACCTGGATTTAGGTTTAGAGATTAAAAAAAATAAAAAGAATTAATTTATATAGTGTGTATATATATTATGTAAAATTTATACCGAGTAGGGTCGGATTGACCCCGACTTTGACCTTACCTAACTTGAGAGGGTCCATGCCGGATCTAGAAATGTAACCAGTTCATGTCGACCCATGGGGGTGAGAGAGACCGCCACATGAAGGTGAGAGATTATTTTGTTTCTTTTGCCAAAAGTCATAAAAATTAAAGTCATCTTTGCAATGAAATGGTACTCTTTAGATGTGGCAATTCCTTCAGTTAGGCTCATATTTGTGTAATTTGTCCAAATTTAAGGGCATCCCATTTTCACAACCCTAAATTCCTTAAGTTATTTTACAATAAATTTGTTAAATTATTTTAAACCTTCTTGACCAATCTAATCGAATACTCTAATCCATCTCCAAAAAACCATATAAATATAAAACTTTCAATTAATATCTCTCTCTAGAGGACTCAGTTTTTATGCGGCCAAGTCCGCATATGTAGAAATGCAGGTATCTTATTTAATTTTTAAAGACGCATAATTTTTAACATGGAGATGATGAATATGGGAAAATGAATAAATTTTAAAAATTAAAAATAATAATTTTAATAAAAAAATAGTTGGATCATTAGTTTTCGTTGTTTTTAAATAGGAGGTATCAATATTTAAGATAGTAGATGCTTTATACTTTCAGGACTGCACATGTAGAAATTCAGTCCAGCCCGCATGAAGCAATTTTCCCTCTCAAAAACCATCTCTCTAAAACTTTCCAGTAATCTCACTCTAAAACCATCCCTCTCTAAAACTCTCAATTAATCGCTTTAAACTCAAAAGCCTATCCCCTCTCGAAGCCGAAGTCCCCATAAACTGAGCCCACATCGACCCCATTTCTCGAACCAAGCGGCTTGAGCCATGGACCCAGGCTCCATGGCCGCACTCTTCTTCGACAAAGCCACGGCCTTTGCCGAGTCCCTGGCCTCGAGCTCCGACCGAGCCGACCTTCGAACCCACTTAGCCCGGGTGCTTGAGTCCCCCAACCATGGTTCGGCCCTCCAAGCCCTGGACGTAGCCATCCAAGCCCTAGACCCACCTCACTGCAACTCCCCTTCCTCTCTCAAGAAAGCGCAGAAAACCCTAAAAGCGCTAGCACAAAACGCCCCATTCCCTTCAATTTCTGCTTTTTCTTCGCTTTATCTTTCATTTCTCTCCATTTCAGAAAATAATCCATTGCAGGCGGCCATTAACGTGGCCACTGTGTTTGCGAAAGACCCATCAATGGCAAGATCGGAAGTCGCGCCTCTGCTCTGGGAAGAGGCATTTTTGCCCCACTTTGGAGCTGCTTTGAAGTGGTATAAGCTCCAAAGAGAGATAATTTTGCAGGGAATTTTGCCTGTGATCGGTCGGGTTAGCGAGAACCAGGCCTCGGAGTTGCGAGAATTGGAGAGGGTTTTCGATGAAGCGCTTGATGAAAACACTAGGAATTTTGCAGGGTTTTATAAGGAATGGTTTGAGAGTGGGGGCAACAAGATTGTTTTTCCTGAGGTTTGGGTGCCATTAGAGAGAGAAAGAGAGCTGCTGGTGAATGGCGATGGAGAATTTCAGAGGCAGAGAGTCTGTGAGTTCACAAATGGGCGTTATAATGTAAATTTCATATTTTTATGGACTTTTTTCTAATTTTTCAGCAATTCAGTGGAATAGGGCAGGTTTTTGAAATTTCTTAAAGTCTGGGTGGTTTTCTGACATTTTGGGTTTTTCTGTCTTCATTAAATTGAAGTTTTTGGCCTAAATTGGGAGAAAATTCCTGCTTTTCTCCAATGATGGGATGGTAAGTTTACTATTTTGACCTCCAACTTTTGGATAGTTTTATTCTTCCAAGTCATTGTTCGCTAAGGAAATTAAAAAGTTGTTATGGACGACATTCTTGGAATTTTTGCATTTTGAACTGAAAACCTGAACGTTTTTTTTTTGGATCATTCAGGCAAAATTTTCACATTTTGCAGTAATTTCTTTGCACTAATACTCAGGAATTTCTTTACTTTTTTAACCCATCTTTGCAATATTTCTCATAATTTTTAATTAAAAAACTAAGATTTTGCTTTTGTGTTTTAACCCATTCATTTTTTTAGTAATTCTTAAATTCAAATCCATGGCTTTTTTTTAATGGTTTTTAAGTTTTAAACCCCTTTCTCATTCTTTTTCAGTTTTAATTAAAAAATCCAGGACCTTTTTTTTGGACCTTACCGTTTTTGCTCCTTGTCATTCAATCTTATTCAGTAAGTTTTAATTAAAAAACGAGAATTTTGTTGTGGATTTTTAACCCGTTTTTGTACGACATTTTTCATAAAGTTTCAATTGAAAAAGACCAGAACTTTTTTTGGGATTTTTAACCCATTTTTTCCTTTTAATTGCAGCCTGTATGGGAAGAAGCAGAGAGATCAATGGAAATAAGTGAGCAGTTCTCTGCAAATTTTCTGCAGAGAGTACTGCAAAACCAGCTTCAAATGCCTCCATCAACTCAAAGCTCTGTTTCTTATTCAGAAATTTTGCCATTAAAGAATGCAACTCAGAGCTCGGATTCGAGTTCAGGGACTTTTCCATCAAATAATATAAAAAGAGGATCAAATTCAAGCTCGTCAGGCTCGGAATTGGAGATAGCTTCAAGTCCGGAGCTTAGTTCGCCATTAATGGAGGGGTTTGCTTGTTCATCTGATAACTTTCAAGCTTCTGATGATTCAGAGATTGATTCCTCAAAGGTAAAGGATTTCAAAAAAAAAGAAAAAGCAAAGAGAATGAAAAACTTATGTCTGCTTTGTTTTATTTTTGCGTTCTTTTGGTTCTTTGAGTTTTGAACTTTGCATTTGCGCAGAAGGTGGTGATTTTGCGAAGTGATTTTGGAAAAGTTTGTTGACATTGTTGCTAGTTTCTAATTTTGTTGAAAATTTGGCCCTATAAATATTTGAGTGACTAAACACTCTTTGCCCAAGCTCCTTATTGAAATTGGGCAGCTTCGGTTATATTCGGGTATGTTTGGGGCTGATTCGGCAAATAAATATCTATATAAAAATGTTTTTTTATTTTTTTAATCTTTTATTTTTAGTTTTTTCAATAATTATATTTATATAAATATTAAATTTATTTATATTAAATTAAAAAAAAATCTGATGTGTATCCCTGACCCATTGACTCATTTTTCTCACAAAACTTAAAAAAAAAAGACTTTTAAATCATTTTACTTCATTTTTCTCACAAAAGAGAAGACTCCCGAATGTATCGGACAACATTATCTTGGCTGCAACAATTCCCACATCTCTCTTTTTCTCTCACACACATACATTCATCTCTCTCTCTCATCACACACACTTCATACACATTTCTCTCACCCACCCACACACACAAACACATACACACCTCTCTCTCTCTCCCCTCTCTCACACACACAAAACACACGCGCATATATGCACCTCTCTCTCTCACCCACACAAATTCACACACACACATACGCACACCTCTCTCTCACTCATAAACACCCACATACATGCACAGCTCTATCTTCCTAGCATGCACAAAAACGACTCTATGCACTTAGAGAGAGAGTGGGCGATGAACTCCTCCATTTATACCTTTGCCTGCGAGGATATTTCTATAATAATATATTATATTATTATTATGATTATTATTATTTTTTAAAACATCGGTTTTTTCTTCTCGTTTTGTCATTTTTCTCAAAACCACCCCACCCCTAGATTTCTCCATCTCCTAAAAATCTCAGAAAGCAGGTTTTTCTATGTTACAGTGGCATTTCGCCCGTCTTTTTTATTTAATTTTGTTGACGGAATTACCAAAGAAATGAAAATTCTCAGTTTTTGTTCTTTTTTTATTTTTTATTTTTTATTTTTTATTTTTTGTATTTCAGGGAAATACCAGAAAAAAGAAATTGTTGAGGGGGCACATTAGACATAATTCAGGACTGACCAGCAGGTATACAAATCTATTTTTTATTCATTTAGTTTTTTTATTTTATTGTGTAATTTTTTTATCGAGCCTTCGAAGTAGAGAGTAATTCTTTTGCAATTTGTTTTCTTAAAACTTTTAGTCCAGAGCAACAAGAGCCGTTGATATTTTATAAAACTTGATTGGACGGACCTTTTTTCTTTCTTTTTCCTTTTTCTCGCATTTCTCAATGCATGAATGTGTTAAGGAAAAAGTTTATATAAGGGTGCAAGTTTAAGGTGCAAACTAAAACAAATCTAGTAGAAGAGAGTCTTCCGAAGTTGGAAAACCATCTGATCATCTCGACCTTGAAGTATATGTATATATATAAAAAAAAATTAAAACTACCCCTCATTTTCATAAAACATGATCGACTCGGACCTCGACCTAACTCAGCACTATCAAGGGTTGACATGGATCAGATTTGTCGGGTCCGTGTTAATATGAAATACACACATGCACAAATACGCACATTTCAAATCGATTTGACCCAACCTTGTTACATCCGAGTTGGATAGGGATCCGGACCTGAACTCAACCTGCTGGATCCAGCAGGCGGTCCAGAAGTAGACAAGGGTTGGGTTGACCAGCTGATCTGTTTATCACCCCTTGTCTTTTCGATTAAGACAACAGTAGGGATATCGTGGGATTTTCATGAAAGCTCAATGATGCTTATGTAAGTTGAGACAAAAGTCAGGAGTCCCTGTTGAGAGAAACCCTTGCTTTTATCAATTTAGTTTAATATTAATTTTATGTATATCTGCTTTGAACTTTCCAAAATGGAAGTACCAACACGAGGCGAACTATGCAGCATCGACTATCCGGATATCTCCGATGGCCACATGATGCTCTCATATGGACTGTCAATCTGGGTATACGTTGAATTTATGTATCGAAGCTCTCCAAGTTCTTTCATGGCTCGTTGTGTTGTGCATTGTGGAATTTGGCACACTAGTTTTATGTTCAAGCTCCTGCTATGCATTTTGAAGCACCCAATGTCATTTTGTAGCAAATTCTCTGGTCTTTGTTATTCTTGATCAAACTGGTTTTTGTTATTTAATTTAACGAACGGGGGTCTTTCACATTCTATGTATTCTTGAATTTAACAAACTGGGTTTTGTTATTGAGTTTATATTATAGACCTGGAGTTTCAGTGGTCTTTTAGGAACTTCTGTGTATCATTGAATCTATAGACTCGTTTTATTGAATTGTTCTTCTTGCTATACTATTTGAAGCTCTCAAGCTCCTTTAATGGCGGACGCAGATTCAGAGAGCAGCTCTATAACAGGTGGCTCTGCCCCTAAACAAGCAGCACCAAAGGACTTTGTTTGCCCCATAACAACACAGATCTTCATAGACCCAGTGACTCTCGAAACAGGGCAAACATATGAGCGCAAAGCCATTCAAGAATGGCTTGATAGAGGAAACAACACTTGTCCCATAACTCGCCAAAAACTTAGCAGCATAGTTCTTCCCAAGACCAATTATGTTCTCAAAAGGCTCATAGCTAGCTGGATTGAACAATTCCCAGGATCGAAAACCAGGTTAGAAAACAAAAAGGCAGTGATGGATATGCAAAAAGGTGAAAATTCAATCACAGATCTGCCAGAAAATGAAGTTCAGGCAACGGGTCTGCAAGGAAATGGAATTCTGGCATTGGGTCTGTCAGAAAATGGAAATCCGGCAATGTATCAGCCTGAAAATGTTACTACAAGCACTGTTTCGGCAGAGAAAAGAATTCCTATTATTGGTGCACTTCATGACAGAAGTACAAAAATGGGTATGCCTGAGAATTCGCAATTGTCGTCCTCCCCCACAAGTGTAATAAGCAGAGCAACTATGGATGGATCAGTTGGGGAATTAAGGCTCGCAATATCTCGTCTATGCACCTCAACTCTTCAAAATGAATCTGAGGTTTCAGTGCTCACTATAGTCAATGCATGGCACCATGTAAAGGCAGAGCCTGAGGCTTTGGCCTTATTAGTTAGACCAGCTGTGATAAACGGGTTCATAGAAATCATGTTTAATACTTTGGACCCTAAGGTTTTGGCATCAATTGTGGGTCTCTTGTCTGAGCTAGCAGCAAGTGATGCCACAGTGGCCCAAACGCTCACTAGGGTTAACTCTGATGTAGCCAGGCTTGTTTCGCTCTTCAAGAATGGCCTTTTAGAGGCTGTTGTTTTAATATATATGTTGAATCCTTCACGGTCTAGCCTTGCAGCTATGGACCTGGTACAACCTCTCTTGATGGTTATCAAAACGGATAATGATGGTAATACTGACGAAATATATAAAGATGGTTTTGATGGGATTCAGGGCATTAGTGGTGGTGCTATTTCTGATGGTTCTGATAGGACTCTAGGCATAAGCACTGATATGGTTTCTTCTGAAACAAAATCAACGGTTTTAGTTAGGCCCAAGATGGCCAGTATAGTCTTACTGGCTAGGATTTTGAAAGGAGGGGAAGAGCTCGAGGTCTCTGCAACTGCTAAAGCTGTAATTTCAGGGGGTGCAATTGAAGGTGTGATTCAAAGCTTAGAGTCTGATCATGTGAGTGAGAGGATGGCAGCTGTTGGGATCCTCTTACAGTGTATCCATGAAGATGGAAATTGTAGAAATGTGATTGCAGACAAGGCGGAGTTGGCCCCTATATTGGAGTGCTTAGTAAGTGCTACCGACGATGAACGCTTTGATGTGATCTGTTTCCTTAATAAGCTGGTTCGACTTAATAGGTATGGTTCCTCCCCTCTTCTCATTTCTTTTGTTGACTTTTTGTTCATGTGTGTATCTATGTTTATACCTAATATTATTTGTGTATATGTATGAATACATAAATTTGAAACAATGTTTCATAGTTTGTTGGAGGAAGTTCGTATTGTTTAACTATTGCTCATGCTATTACAAAATCTGGTAAGATAAGTAGTTGCAAGCTCAAATTTTGTGATCAAATAAACTGAACAAATTATTTTTTTTTTTTTAAGACCTCATAAATTTGTAATTGTTCGTGTTAAAGTATTTGAATACCATTATGAAAGCTGAATGGCCTAAGTAGTTACTGAATGGTTGTTATGAGGTTATTCCTGTGATCCATCATCGTGTTGTAGCGACTGCTTTGAACCAGTGAATCTAGAACTCCTTTTGGTATGTTTTGCTGATGAAGGCCACTTAAATGTCTCACTAGGAGGACGTATAACGAGCAGATTCTTCAGATCATAAAGGATGAATGCAAGTTTAGTACAACACATACTCTCCTCATCTATCTAGAGTCAACCTTACAGGATCAACACCCTGTCATTGCTAGTCTTCTTCTCCAGCTCGATATTTTGGTTTGAGACCATAACTTCAATAACATTTTTTACTTTCTTTTTTTTGTGTTCTGTAAAGTTTTAGATCTAATTTATTGATTTGAATGCTGTGGAAATTTCTCAAGTATTATTTGCCTCTACTTATTTGCAGGCAGAGCCAAGAAAGATGAGCATGTATCGAGAAGAGGCTATCGATACTTTGATTTCATGCTTAAGGAATGAAAAATCTCCTGATGTACGATTAGCTGCTGCAGAAGCACTTGAGGCGCTCCCGGGAAGGTTCTCTTCCTCAGGTAGATCCCTTACTCGAGCTTTCCTTCTGAAACGTGCGGGTTTCGAGAAGAGCTACAGAGCTGTGTTGAGGGCAGAGGGAGAGAGGAGGAGTCATACATCTGGGGAGGAACAAGAGAATTTGGTAAAGCTTGTTTTCTTTCATATGCTCTTTCTAAATTTAAATGCGCATGTGTGTGTGGTGAATGTGTGTGAGAGAGAGGGAGAGATTATCTTCAATTTTTCTATATTATACATACAACCCAAACTACTCTAATCTTGTCAATGTAATTATTTCAATGTTTTAGCATTTAAGTTCTCTCTTGATGCTGCATCTCCGTCTTTCTTCTCTTTAATTTTTTGTGATTCTAAAGTCATTAATGCATCATATTAAACCTTCATGTGTAGCCGATCCCAATTAGTTGGGAAAAGGCTATGAGGCTGATGATTAAATCTTCATGTGTTTTATATCAGGAGGAAGCCAAGGCCTCTGAGAATTGGGAGAGAAAAATGGCACTTGTTCTTGCTAGCCATGAATTTGGTCTAGTGTTTGAGGCTTTAGCAGAAGGCCTAAAGAGCAGATATGCACAGTTATCAGCTGCCTGTTTTGTTTCAGCAACATGGCTTGTGCACATGCTCACAATGCTTCCAGATACTGGGATCCTTGGAGCTGCTAGGCATTGCTTGCTGGAGCGCTTCATTGCTATTTTCAAGTCTGCAAGGGATATTAATGATAAAGCTCTTGCCATGCTTGCTCTCAACAGTTTTGTCCAAGACCCTGGTATGGAATAGCCAACCTGCAAAAATATCATCCATTTTTTCTTGGTGGGTGGATGTGTGATATTTCTATGTGGGAGGGGAGTGTTGAAATTCAGTGTCCATTAGCATTGTGACCATTGGATGAAATGCTCAATGGAAATGAAGTAAGAGAGGATAGGGGAAAGCTAGTACAGAACATGAATGGTCACTGCCACTCTTTTCTTAATCATCATCCTGCATTTTAATTGGACAGTTATATCAGAATGGGCCATTTTTTGCATGGTCCATTCAACTGCTAAATCCTTTCCTTTATAAGCTTCCACCATTTTTAGTGCACGTAAGTACAGTATTCAGGCTTGAGGCTTCTCTGTTGTGTCGATATCTTTCACTTAATTACACAGTTTGAGAACATTAAATGTTCTTTGTATTAGCGACCCCACATATTGTATCTGTTCTGCACAGTATATATGGTATCCGTAAATTTAACAACTATATTGTATAAATGTTATAACGTTATGACATAGAGAATCAGAGACTTGCACTGGTGTTTTCAGAAAATCTCTGTTACTTCTTTTAGGATTCCATTGTTGTCCTCGATGACCATATAAAAAAAAGGGAAAATTTCGTACAGAACCCTAATTCCCCTTCTTATTTCATGGTAGACCCTCATTCCATTTTACTTTCAAAAACGTTTCCAAAACTTTTTTAACCCACCCCATTATATCTTTTAGCCCAAAAACATTTCAAAAATATTTTTTTATTATAATTTTTTGCCTTTTCAGGCCCTCAATGCCACGGTGAGGGCCCCCTATCTCTCTCTCTCATATTGGGTTGAAATGGTATAAAAAAATTTGTTGGGGCTAATTTTTATAGTCAAAAGTGAATAAATGAGGGAGATAAGAGATGAAGGGGTACGGTGAAATCCTTAGGGATTTTTTTATGCCGCTTGAAAGAAAAATAGAAAGAGGGTCTACCATGAAATAAGATGGGGAGTTAGGGTTCTGTATGAAATTTTCCCTAAAAAAAATGCGATTTTTTATAACATGTAATTGACAACATTGTATAGAGGATTTCTCTGACAGGCATTCAAATAATCTTAATTTTAAAATTTATCTGCATTTCTGTTGACTATTGCATTTACTTTTCTATCATCCAATGCTAGTCAAGGATTTTCTTTGTATCTGATTCTGATAGTTTATCGAATTTATCAGAAGGGATGCAGGTTATGGCATTTCATATGAAGGATATACTGAAACTTCTGAGAGAGCTAAAGAAGTCATCTACTTTGGCAGTAAATATGCTGAAAATTTTATCAGAAGGGCAGGATTCAAGTATTGTAAGTTTAGTTGCTATCTTTATGTTTGTATCGTAGTCAGATACTTCTGAATATTTGTTATTCATTATACTAGTTGTCCTAGCAGCAAGATGTCTGGAATCATAACGAGTTAGCTCAAGCTGATTGCACTGCAAATGGAGAAGTTTTGGCAATTTCTTTCTTTCGGGATCGGATCTTCACAGGACATTCAGATGGTACTTTGAAGGTTGAGATTTTCTTCCCACTCTTTATGACACTCGTGAACGTGCACATTCTCACTGTTACTTGTCATCTCAAATGGCCAACTCTGCATGTTTGACCTTTAGTTCTGCCATTGTTCAAGTGAATCTGAAGAAGAGTGAAATATTGATAAAAACCCATAATGTAGTAATTAAAATACTGAAAAGTAATACGTATGCATATTTCTTAATACTAAAAGAACTGTTGAACAAATTTGGAGATCATGCTCAAGATTCCTTAACAAAATGGATCAGATGGTGATCACAACAGGATTCCCCATACTTCAGTTGTTTGCATTAATTTTATCATATTATGGAAACCCAGAGTTGATAATATTAATTGACACTAGTTAACACAATAAAAATTCAGAAAAAGTGCAAGATATATGCATAAACATCTGAACCAGGTAAGCAGAAATGAACTGATAAAGTTTTGGCTGGCTTAATTTGAAGGTCTGGAGTGGTAGAGGGAAACTTCTCCATCTGATCCAAGAATTACGAGAGCACTCCAAGGCGATCACTAGCTTGGCTATTTTACATGCCAGTGACAACATGTATAGTGGTTCACTTGACAAATCTGTCAAGGTAAAATCTCCTTTCTTCTCTTTTGGGGAGTTATATATCTAGTTGTCCAATCTCATTAGAAGTTATTGACTTTTATGAACAGGTTTGGGCCATTGGAACACAAGACATTCATTGCATACAAGTCCATGATATGAAGGATCAAATTTATAATCTGACTGTTGCCAATACCATCGCTTGCTTTGTTCCTCAGGGAGCCGGTGTCAAGGTACCTATTTTTTCCAGTTTGTCATAAAACTTTGAGATTATGAGCCCGAATGAAAATCTATAACACCTTGAAACTCATAATAAATATTTTATTTAATGTTAAGTACTTTATTCAGTACTTTTACTTCCTAAATGAAATCCAACTTAAGACCTTGTATCCCATGTCTCTCTTTGAAATACAAAGAACTCTCCAAGCTTTTAAAATTCTACTTTTGAAGCCCCAGTGAAGATAACTTAAGGGATATGTTTTGGCATTTCTGTGGTTCCATGCTACACAGCACAAAACTCCATCTTGGAGATGGATTGAGGAACCAAAACACCTCCTGATCACTTGCAATTCCATTTTCGCCCCTAAAAATAAATTTGGAGCTCCAAAAATGGTCCATATATGACGGACCTTGAAAAACTTGAAATGGATGGTCTGGGAAAATTAGTTCAAGATGGTCCATTTTTTGGGCTCTACTTACCACTTCTTTTATGATCCATGGTAGCAAAGGTCCTGCGGATGAATTTGCAGAGTTTCGAGTCCTCAATCCATCTCCAAGATGGTTTTCGAGGTGCTGCCACTTCCAAACACTCCCACACTAAAACGTTACCCATGACTCGATGCTTCTTGCCATTTCTGGGTATCCTGTTCAAATATCAGTCAACCACATAGAATACTAATTAGAAAACACTTCCTCTTTTTTTTTGTACTTCTTTTCTTTTTTTACTCTTTTTTTTTTTTTTACTTGTGGGAAAATTATTTGTTCTTTACCTTTTCTCCGTTATATTATTATCTTGTTTCACCCCTTTCTTTCATGTTTCCAATTTTATTACGTTCTTCTATTGTTTTGTGCTATAAAAGTTCCAGCTCAGCATGTATGTGTATGCTTATGTGTCCTGCAGATTAAGTGAAGCCATTTTGCATTATTGGAAATACTTATTAAGTGCAATTTGACTGCAGGTTCATTCTTGGAGTGGGACCTCCAAATTGATTAACTCTACGAAGCAAGTCAGATGCCTATCTCTAGTGCATGGAAAGATTTACTGTGGATGCAATGATAATAGCATTCAGGTAAAAAATTGTGCAGATATACAAGTACTTAATTGGTGGTTTTAGGCAAAGTTTGTTCCTACCACTTCATGAAATTTTCTTGGCTGAATTCAGAATTTTTTCATTGATATTTTATCTCCTTTGCCTTAAATTGATCCATAGACTGGTTACCTCTGCTTCCTATATCTTTAAGAATCTTTTCTAAATGCTTGAGAAATGTAGCTTTGTTTGTTTTCCTTTATTTTGTTTTCAGAATTAAGGCTCTCTATAAAAGGCTGTTGGTCATCATTTGGGACTGAGTAATATTCTGATTCTTCTCTATATACTTGTGCAAGGAAAAATAGTAAAATTTAATCCATCCTCTCCCCCCCTCCCCCCCGGGGGTGTTTATACCCTTTTTAGACTGATCTTCTTTTCTAGGAAATCATATGATTAGGGATACATCGTATTGTCTTTTGAAGTAGAAATGCATTTAAAGTAGCTAGCATAACATTTGTCTTACGAATAATTGAATTTAATTAGGGAAAGCTGGAAAAAGCTGAATACAATTCCTGAATGTAGGGAACATAATGTATAGGGGATGTAATAGATGTATAATGTGGAAAACTATGGGTTGTAATAGACGTATATATATGGGAAACTATGGGATGTAATAGACGTTGATTGGTTTAGGCTACTTTTGATAATTATGTGTATTGGTTATGTTAGATTAAAAAATAAAAAACTTGTTATTTCAAGATCCTATAGTAGCAGTTTGGTCGAAATCAGAAGCAAGGTAGAATTAAAATATTTAATAGATGAGAAAGATATTGTGGCACATCTGAACTTGTTGTACCTAGTGGAATATAGTTTAAAAAAAATTTGCTCTAGTTTGAAAAAAAATTTATTGGGAAACAATCTCATGAAAGCTTATATGTCTTTAGTTGTATAGATCAAAGATAAGAGATTTCATAGTAAAAGCATGACAACAACTAGGTGGCAATACATGCTGGTAATATTGAGTGCTTGTAGTTTACGCACATAATATCTTCTCTATATCTGAGTCCATATGATTATCAGAACACCAATAACAATGATCATGAATCAGATGAAGGCATTGATTTCTATATAGGGGGTAAAATTTACCACATACTTGGTTTAGTCTAAGAGAACGTTTCATGGTCTCTTGATCTTGTCCAAAGCTTAAATTTTGATGGCTTTTTATTACAATTGTTGACTACTTTATTAGTCATTGACATTGGCCTAAACTCTTTGAAATTGCAGGAAATAGATTTAGCAAGTGGAACATCTAGCACTATTCAGTCAGGTTCCAGAAAGTTACTTGGTAAAGCAAATCCTGTATATGTTCTTCATGTACATGATGGGTTAGTTTACTCAGCCAGCACTCCTTTAGATGGGGCAGCTGTCAAGGTAAAGAGATTTGCAAAGAAATTTAAAAGCAGAAACTAGTAGTTAGGCTACATGAAAGATCATTTTATTTGCTTCTTATAAGTAGTGTGCCTTTTGTTTTTTGGACATTTATGTAAAGTACTTCTTTATGACTATTATCCCTCGTCTTTTCGAAATACTAACTGCAAAGGCCCTCCTTTACTGCAAAAAATTGAAATTTCATCATGGCTGTTGACACTGCAATATATTGAAATTCATTACTAATAACATTTTTTGATCTTTCTGTTTCGGTTGTAGATATGGAATGCTTCAAGTTACAGCAAGGTAGGAACATTGGCTTCAACAGCGGATATAAGGTCAATTGTTGTAAGCTCAGAGCTTATATATTTGGGGTGTAAACTTGGGGTGGTTGAAATTTGGTCCAAGGAAAAATCCACAAAAGTTGGACACCTAAACATGAGAACCACTGGTAAGGTACTCTGCATGGCTTTAGATGGCGAAGGAGAAGTTCTGGTTACGGGGACAGCTGATGGTTGGATTCAGGTATGACATGTCAGCTCTAAACCTGTTACTTTGTAAGTAACCATTGTGTGTCTATGCATGCATGAGAGAGAGAGAGAGAGAGAGAGTAGTTACCAACAGAAAAATAGAGATTAGTTTTCTCTATATTACTGCTGTTTCTACCACTTTTATTGCTGTCAAGTTTTAGTTGAATCTTTGATTGGAGCCAAAAAATGTTTAAAAATCAAATGTAGAGTATAAAAAATGTAATGTGATTCATTTGGTCATGATAACATGTTCATATGGATTATCACTATCCAATCTATGGGTTAGACGATGATGGAGGAAGCATGGGATGTAAAATGAACTAACGGCATTCTGGGTGAGACCCATTCCCTCCATGACTGACCAACCTATTGACGAAAGGATGATAACCTTTACTATGATCATATGGATCATATTGTAGGTCCCCAATGTCAGCATCCATGTTACAATTGGTTTTGCATGAGCCAGGCTGAAATTTCTATGTACCTACACGTACTTTAGTTGATAAAAATGTCAGAAACCAAATTCTAAATTTGGCCAAAATTGAACAAAAATTACTCATCAGATGATTTGTCCAATTGTTCTAAATTTGCGAAATTGAAGCACAAAAATTAATTGTTGGATGATTTGTCCAATTGGATGGTCCAGATTTCAACTCATCTGAATGGATGTTGTAGATGAAGATACACAAGCATCTGCAAAATCAAACTATCCATTCATATTACCATCTGTTTTATGATTTAATGATGTTTCTGCCACTCAACAGAGCAAAAATGATAGAATTTTGATTTTATATGTCTTGGCAATCTCAGAAGCTAAATTGAACTTTGGTCCATGTAGAGTACATATGTGAATCATGAGTCATTTTGTTGTTTTTTTTTTGCTGAATGTTCCTTTCTGATCCTTTAAGGTCATGAATTTTGGAGTTGCAGGCATGGGGGCTCATGTGAATCACAACCAGGAGTGGTGAATGTAACATGAAAGAGAGAGAGAGAGTTTGTGGTGTATTTGGTTGATAATTCTTTTCTTAGGAGTGTAAATCCAGGTCAGCTTTTCTTTGGGAAGGGGGGGGGGCGGGGGAGAGTGAGTGAGATTTATTGAGTATTTTTGTTTGAAAATTCTTTTGTTATGATAGTGTAAATCCAGTGGGAGCGAGAGAGATAGAGGGACTTGTATGGGTGAGGATTCTTTCCCTGTAAGAGTGATAAATCCAGGTCATCTGATAATAGGAACAAATTATATGAGAAGAAACAGGAAGAGGAGAACAAAAAGAAGGCTTTGGAATAACAGGCAATTAAATAGTGAGAATTGCTGTATGACTTGTATACATATAGACAATTGTTTCTACCAGAAAATGTATAAAATAAAGTGTGAGAAAGAAGAGACAGGATGTGAGGAGTGACACCCGTTTATTTATTCTGTATTATCCTAATTTTCCCAAAATCCATTAAAGAAACTTGGGAAAGATTGAGTATTTCTTAAGAAAAAGGTAAAGTTTATTAGTGTTTTATTGTTGTTGTTTATCATCTGATTCATAAATATGTGACACAGTCGACGTATGTGTTCTTAATCGGTTGGGACTTACAGCCACTTTCAAGCATTTTAGAAAATCTTGGAGAATTTTTCACTTTGAAGACTAGGGTATATTGGAGTCTGGACATTTTCATTGGTGAATCTTTCTAAATTGCGATTGCTATGGAGTAGACATAGATTGGGAATTGCTGATCCAGTATGGAATTGGTGGTGACTGACTCGTTCCTAGGAGGATCAGGGAATCAGTGTGACATTGACATGTTGGCTTATTTCTGCCAGAGAACCTGGGGAGTCTATTAGGAACTAGGTGATCTGGATCTATTGAATCCCCTAGTTCCCACTGTTTTTTTACTATTATTTTGTTATTTTCAAATTTAAAGCATTATTTAGTTTTTTTTTTTACCAACGATGTTGGGGAATCAGTCCGATCTGGCCAAATTAGTGAGTCCCGCCTACTAACTTATCGGGGTTTTAAAAAAAGGAAAAAACTTATATAAGATTGAGGTCTTAAACAACCAAACTAATGCACACTGCAAAAATTCACTAGAAGAAGATGTTTCAATGCTAAAAGGAAAAAAGTTTATATAGAGCGGAGGCTCTAAACCATCAAATTTGAGCCTATCTCAAAAATGTCACTAGAAGAGGTTGTTTTGATGCCCAAATATCATCAAATTGATCATCTCGGCATCAAGATGCATGGACATAAGGAAAAAATGGATTTCAAGTTTTGGAAATAGTGTATTTTGTAATGCATTTTTGGACCGTTAATTTTCAAGATTTGCAAGTTTTCACAGATCTATGGATCTACACTATTTTTTAAGCTTTAAAGTTTATAAATAAATATAAAAATATATTTTAAGTCTATTACAATGATTTCCAATATTGAAATTACATTTCTCGATACTATTTGAAGGTGGGTTCTAATATGATTGTTTAGAACCTAGGCTCTATACAAACTGCACCATGCCAAAAAAAACCTTTAAAACCTTATCATCTTGTCCTTCATGCATGGATATAAAATAAAATGAAATTTAGGATTTGAAAATGGTGCATCTTGTAGTGCACTATCTAGACCGTCAATTTTTCAATATTTTTGAGTGTTCATAGAACTATTTGATCTACACTATTTTTCAAGCTTTAAATTTTATAATTAGAGGATGAAAATAAATTCTCAGGCTATCACAAATATTTTCAGTACTAAAATGACATTTTGATACTATTTGAAGGTGCGCCCCCTTTTGATTGTTTAGGGCTTCAGTCTTATACAAACCACACCCTTAAAACAAGGGTGCGGTTTTTGTAAGGTTGCAACTTCAATAATCCAATTAAGGCGCACCTCCAAAATTTATCATAACATGTAATTTTATTGTAAAACGTTTTTCGACATAAAAAAATCTATCTTTAAAAGAAGGTGGTCCCATGAAGGTAACTTTGTTTTTCCCAACCAAAATAAAGATGGACACCCATGTGCTAAATGAATCTGTATATTGAATATGGTTGGTCCCATAATGATAATTTGTTAAGAAACAACTAACAATTGTTACAGGCAACAATGAGCAACCGGAAGTGGGTACAAAATACTCAGGGAAAACAAAAACCACCAACTCAGAGAGAGAGAGAGAGAGCAGGACATTGGACCAAGACATTTCTACAAGATACTCTTCAGGCTCTGATCAATTAAAAGGTGAACGCTTATTCACTAAAATTAGTACAAAGTCGTAGGGAGGCAAGGCACACAGGGATAGG